AAAAAAAAAAAAAAAAAAAAGAAAAGGTAATGCAGATAATCCACACCAAACTCTGTAAAAGCATTAAATGCCTGACTAGGTTTCCACAAATATTATCACTATATAAACATAAAAATACTAATTATGTAAGTCAATTAAGCTATTATATATATGTAGATGACTTACACACAAGCCAGAGGAACTTGCTGTAATTTTTAAATAATGTGATCAAGAATCTGAGTTTGTCATTTGCTGAAATTCCAGAAGTTCAGTAGCTCACTGCTCCCTATCACTCCCAAAGAGGCAAGATAAAGAAAACAAGCTATCCAACAGAGGTTTAATGTGCAGGTCTGGAACAATTCTTTAAACACCAAAAGTTGATAAAAAAACCTGCTTTACAATTGCAACTTTATGCTACAGTCATGTTCGTATTTTTGCCAAGGGATACGGTTTACATCCATCTCTACAAATTTATGTATTTGGTGTATAAACATTTTAACATTATAATAATAATCCTTTATCATAATAGAGAGACAGCATGGTCTAGTGAATTGTGTGCTGAATACCCTATCCAGCCCCATCTACCACATAGGCATTCTGTAAAGATTAATTAGTAGATAATTCCAGAAAGCACTGTGAGCTTTTCTTTGCAAAAATAGTGTACAAACATCACTTATTTATCACACCACAACTTGAGAGATAAAGAAAGAGGCAATAATATAGCTATAAGTGTAAAAAAAAAAAAAAAGGAATGGTAGTTGGGATGAAACTGAATGAGACGACTGCTGAAAGAGATTAGAGGGCAGAATAAGTATAAAAAATATGAATATATGAGTCCTACATAGAATACAAGAAAGAGTGGTGCCTTTCCTCAGCAGTATTGCAACAAAACACCCCCACCGCAAAAGGTTAAAACAGGTCACAGTTTCCTGCAGCAAAGTGTCCTGATTTCTCCAGGAAGGTGAGGACAGGCAGAACTCAGCTTGTGTTTGACTTGTGCAGAACTCAGCTTGTGTTTGACTTGTGCTCACCCCCAAGGCTCACTCCTTACCTGCCCTGGCTACAGAGTCCTCGGTGCACACTTGTCCTTCACAGACCATTTCCTCCAAGGGTGCCCCAATCAATTTAGAAAATGACAAGGTGACACAGAAACAAAAAGCAGAAGCTCTGAAATAGAGCCCATTCTAGTCAACAAACAAGACTTAGAAATATATATGAACCAAGAGGCAGAAGTAATTTAGGAGGGCTCAAAATACAATTAGTACATTTTTGATTTATGAGAAGAATTTCTCAGTTATAAAGCCACATATAAGGCCGTTCTTCCTTCTCATATCTCAGAAGTAATATTGCTGGAGGAAAGAGAGGGCTTTTTAAAAAGCATGCACTTTTATATGTAAGTCATTACCACTGTAAATTATTCAACATTGTCTGGTAAATCAAATAATTTCCAATGTTCCAATCTATAAAATATAACCATTCCTAAACTATCATTTTCAGATACAAGTATATAGACTGAAAAATAATGTAAATAGAAGCAATGCACATATTCACACTAAAATTAACATCAAGAGCATTTATTATATCAATAAAATAGGTTTAATCATTAGAAATAGTTAGACTACCCTTGAAAGAAGCCACAAAGCAGCAATTTACTCAAAGATCCACTCAATTTGTAGTGTGGTATCAGCAATTCCTAAGAATATTTCTGGTATCTATCCTTCATTTTTCTTTTGCATTGTATTTCACTGTTAGGCAATTAGCTCACTATACCTAGACTACCACAATGACCAACTAACAAGTCTTCCTGACTCCATGTGGCCAACATATGGCAAAAAATTAAATTTCCCTGAAGCAAGACTCTGAAGATATTCATTGCTGGTTAAAACTTAAGGTTCTCTCTCTTTCTCTCTTTTTCAAAAACTGGATGCAGCTCAAACTTATTAGGCTGGCATTCACAGTTCTTCACAATCTGTCTCCATTCAGCCTCTTATGTTCTCAATTTTTTGTTCCAAAACAAAGCCCAACTCCTACTTAATTTGGACTTCTATAATGAAAATGTCCATCTCTCAATTCCCAAAGCACCTTTTAAATGCCAGTGCCTGTGCCTATGATGTCTCTCTCCTGCTGTCACCAGGGTAAATCCTAACAATTCAAATGCCTTTCATCTTGGTCATCTTTTCCACATTATATAGATTTGATTTTCACCTCCATTCTCAGCACACTGACCCCACCAACCCTTCACAATCAGGGCACATATCCTGGACTCATCACATGATACCTGTCACATACTGATTTGTTTATAGATACTGACTCATGTGTGTTTGTTCTGAGAGGACAGAAATTCTCTTATACAACTCAGTCTCACGTGGTACCCTGCTTCAAATGTTCAGTCAATGAGAAGTGTCCAATGCAAGAATGAAGGTTTCTGCTTTGCAACAAAACTCCTAAAGGTTATTCTGTATTTCACTAGAGTTAGGAAAGACAAAAACAAGATGACCTCTTTTTTAAAATCTGCATGATATTTATAGAAAAGATGCATTTACAGGACATTTTTTAAAGTACATGATGTTTTATAATTATTGTTCATAATGCATACAAAGTGGGTCACAAGCATCACCTTCCCTTTAAAGCTATGGAAACTAGACTGCAAATTTCTGTAGGGCTCCACTATACAATTATTTAATAAAACTTCATGCCATTCTTCCTGTGCTTGACTGGGAAGTATGTGGGGTCTGTGGTCAACTTGAAAAACTCTAATTTGTTTCTGGTACTAAAGAACTGCCACCAATTAAAACCGAGTATAGAGAAGTTCATTAAATGTCTAAGTCCCAAGTTATGGGCTAGACATTGTGTTACACAAAAAAATATAAAGTTGAATGCAAATGCAGACCTTATTATTTCTCAGTTTAGGTGCCAATACTCTCTACACATACACAAGATACTAAGAGGAATACTCTTGTCTTCTTTGCCAAATTTTACAAGAGATAAAAACTGACTTTTGCCATCCCTGTGCAAATGTCGTAGCAAATTCTAATGTTCTCAGGCCACACTGGTCATGATCTGAGACTCTCAGCCAGTTATATTGAAATGTCATAGGAGGCCAGGCATAGTGGCTCGTGCCTGTAATTCCAGCACTTTGAGAGGTCAAGGAGGGCGGATCACATGAGATCAGGAGTTTGAGACCAGCTTGGAAAACATGGTGAAACCCTGTCTCTACTAAAAATACAAAAATTAGCTGGGCATGGTGTCAGGCACCTGTAATCCCAGCTATTCGGAGGCTGAGACAGAAGAATCCCTTGAACCCAGGAGGCAAAGGTTGCAGTGAGCTGAGACTGCACCACCCCACTCCAGGTTGGGTGATAGAGCAACACTCTGTCAAAGAAAAAAACAAAATCCGGTCACAGTGGCTCATGCCTGTAATCTCAACACTTTGGGAGGCCAAGGCAGGTGGATCACGAGGTCAGGAGTTCAAGACCCAGCCTAGCCAATATGGCGAAACCCTGTCTCTACTAAAAACATAAAGTTAGCTGGGTGTGGTGGCACATGCCTGTATTCCCAGCTACTTGGGAGGCTGAGGCAGGAGAATCCCTTGAACCCGGGAGGCGGAGGTTGCAGTTAGCCGAGATCAGGCTGCTGGACTGGACAACACAGCAAGACTCCATCTCAAAATGTCATATGAAAGTTAGAAATATTGAGGTCATTCTT